ATCCGGTCTGTCGGGCCGGTAGGTCCAAAGACGGCCCAAATTTCAGAATTCTGACATTAGCGATTTTTATAAGTGTAGGGATAGAAGGATGATGCACACATGCACCCGTTTTTTTTTGTTTTTTTTTTTTTTTATATGAAACAACCCGGGTGATTGCTAGGGGCGCTGGTAAGAGCAGACGCCTCTAGCAAGCCTGGGGAGGCTCCATCTATTGGTGGGGAGCAACACCTGCTGGAAAACGGGTCCAGCGTCCCTATAAACAATAAAAAATCATGTAAACATGCCATGTGTCCATCCTACTGTAAACAAAAAGAGCTAATGCACCTACACGCAGGCACGCAGCGTTATCCTAATGAGCAGCGACGATTGCTCTCAATCGAGAAATCGGCTGCCCATCACATCATAGGATCATACCACTACTCAGCAGTCCTCACCGTGTAATCAATCTTCCAGCACCATGGGGAGGGGAGAGGACAGTCCAAATAGGGAAACCATCACTAAAAACCCTCAATAGGGAAGCTATCGAAAAAACACTCACGTGACAGGGCCGTGACACCCCCACTGCCCCGTCTTGTCTGCCACGTGGCGAATCCTAGTGTTTATACCACGGGGATATGACCCCCCGGGTGGCCTAGTAAAAATCGAAATCATATGGTCATGCCACGTGGCAACCCCGGTGTAAACTAAGAAATTTGTCCGAGTGGGCGCAGGCACATACCCTAAACTCACATCCGCAGAGCCATGACACCCCCAGTGCACCGCCTTGCCTGCCACGTGGCGAAACCCAGTGTCTATACACGTATGTTTATTGTAGTGAACAGCATTGATTACCCTCATTAGAGGGGATTGACTGCCCACCCAAACATGAATTCACACCCCACCCTGAAATACTAATGTACCACCCAAAGAGCATTCAGTACCATGAGCAGAAGAGGCAGTCAGAGCAGGCCTCCCTAACGGCCAAATCCTAATATCCAAGTGGCGCGGTCCAAATGATTACACACGAAAAAATTCCGTCGCGCCACTTCCCGCGGCACTTCCTTCCCCGCCACCCGCCCTCCCCCCGGGTCGTCAAGACGATTGCAATGAAGAAAGGACACCGGGGAGAGAAGGGAACAGATGCAGCTAGACAATCCAAAATCTATCCTACCCCCTTGCGCACCCATCCCATCCCCCCATCCAATACGCTGAACGAAGCATTCAAACAGCCCTCTCGCCCTCCCGCCGGTTCGTCAACACGATCGCAAAAGAGAAAGGACACTGGGGGGGAGGGGGGGACGGGAGAGAAAACGAAAACCTCCATCACACCTACCCAACCATCATTGTCGAGCTTATTGATGTTGTTTTGGTTGTTACCGTTGTTGTTATCCTTGTTGTTGCAATCCAGCGTGCACGATCTCACAATTTCCACACTTGCACCCGTGTCTTGCGCAACAATCACGGTGTTGCTGGCGCCCACAATCTCGGCTTCGTGGTTGTTGTTGCTGTCGTTGTTGTTGTTGTTGTTGTTGTTGTTGTTGTCGTTTCTGTCGTTGTTTCCGCGCGCGCCCGAGCTTGCGATCCCCTTGTTTGCTCCCCTGATCGGCGCGCGTTGGTTAACCGTTGTTGACGTGTTCACAGCTGATGATGCCTGCGTCAGTATCATGCCCCTCTTCCGTCTCTAAGTACAGGTACCACTCCTCCTCCAGCGCTGCATACACATCCTGCCCCACCTCGAAGATGTCGTAGCAACACCGCTTCAGAGTCTCGTCCTGCTGACTATCTATGAGACCATCCCATTGGAAAGGTGGCCCCTCCTCCAACTCCCGGATGACCCGCAACATGTTGCTCATCCCTTCCTGAAACGGCGGGTCCGATGAAGCTGCCCCCCCACCAACCTCAAATCGAGCTCCCAATTGTGATCGCAGTGCATCAACCATCACCTGTAAACGACATCGAATAGATGAGAGCCAATCGGCAGCACGATGCTGGTCATCTCCCATTGAAGCCATCGGTACGTTTGAACCGCCTCGAAGTCCGCGCCCACAAACTCCCACGCTCCCCTGCCAATCCCACATCTGATGGGGCTGCCACGTCAGCGTCGCCGCGAACGTGGGGCAAGACGCGTGGCTCAAACCGCCTTCCGTCAGCCTACGTGGGCGCCGGATCGCATGGAGGGCAGCCGGGCCCTGCCGTCTGCGACCACGCGGAGTGTTAGCGCTCCTTAGTGATAATTTCGGCGGTCCGCACGGGCAATGTGAATCGAAGTGTGTGTGCGCTATATGAATCATGTACTCCCTGCCCCCCACGCGATAGGGGATCACATCGTCCGAGGAGAAGGGTTGGCCTTGTGGAAAATCCAGAGCCATCATGAGGTAATCATCCCTCTTTCCGACATATGACGGGAGGGGGTCGATGAAAGTGGCAATGTCATACATCTGCCCGAAATCGTGTACGAAAGCTGCCTGGATTTCTACCAGGATATGGCGGAATTCAACCCAGTAGAAATCCTACATCAGTTGTGTTCGTCTTTCCTCTAGTCCGAGCCGGAGCTGCGGCGTCCATGCGTAGATCCGTACTTCAGATCGATCACAGCGCAGTCGTTTCCAATTATCAATTGTCTGTTTGTCTGCCTCATGCATACACAAAACCGTGAAGAGGGTGTTGGAGAGCGGTTGGATGAGAAACTGGTCACGGGCCGGATCTGGGCTACCTTTTAGAACTTCCAGGCATCGACCGATCCATCTGACTTTATCATTACTTGTTTTGAAGGCCGCATCGTCGTGAAAAACCCAATTATTTGCATGTTTAACGTAGAGGGCATCCCTACCGGACAGCCCTTGGTCCGGGTAGGCTTTCACCATGATCTGCTTACCCCTTTGTGAAACCACACGTGTCTCCGAGGGTAAAAGTAAGCGGGACATAAAGAAGGCTCGTGTAGGGGACAGACTGTCCAGGGGGATGATCAGGTCTCCTGTGAGCGGGCCTCCTTGCCCTCGATGGACCGTCAACGTTTGGCCCTGGCACGGATTTTCGACCTTGTCCAACCATGCGGCTGGTGTATCCTGAGGGGCAGCCACATGCTCAGGAGGATCGCTGCTCCGACCAGGGCTTTTCAGGGGAAACGCACTGACCCCCTGAGTCGCAATCTGCATCCTTTCTTCTTCTGTCAAAATCTCTATGTCATTTTGTGAGGTAGATGGGTTGTCCTTGTTTGTGACAACGCAGTGTTCAGCTGAGGGGGGTGGAGCTGGTCTGGGTCTAATTGTGCCCGTCTTCCGTGTTGGATATAGTGCTCCGCCAACTGTCTCATCGCCCCGCTGCAGGAAAGCATCAAATCTAACCTTTTGTGTGCTCGCTGTCGCCTGGTGGTTATTTTCATGACCAGGTGCTTTCCCATTGTCCAATCTTGTTGCTTTGATTTCGTTATTTTGTTCTCCTTTTTTCTTTTTTGCTTTTCTGTTTTATTTCTTTTATTTTCCGTTGTAGTGTGTATTTGACACGTGTGTATGTATTTTTCGGTTTAGCAGGCCCTTTATAAAGTCTCAGGGGATAGTGGGTATGATGAGAGTAAGATCAGTTCTCTTGGTTTCCAACATTCCACCTGCTCTCTATGACGATGCGCCCTCTGCCCTCCCTGCACGACGACTCCTGTTCCTCCCTACACCCATCCCAGATGGCATACCCCGCTCTCATTCTTTTGCTCCCAAGGTTCCTTCGTTTTTTATCCCCACTCTCCCTTACTCTTCGTACACCCTTGCCTGGAGTCGACAATCAGGGTAGCCAAAGGTCGGTCCCTTCTACTTCCTTGAGCCCTCGCTCAGAAGGAGCACGTGACTCCCCCCTGCGACCCGTCGACTCGATCTCCCTCTCCTCGACTTGTCCCCTTTCTCGTTCCCCCGGTCCCTAAACCGTTCTGTCTCTTTTAGTTCACCGTACAATATCTCTGCATCCCCCGTGGCGCTCACCTATCCCGGGTTCCTTTCCTAACCCTCTCGCCCAACCCCTGCCACTCCAAATCCCCAGGACCCTGCCCCTCACCGCCCTCCCACCCAGTCTTCCCCGCCCCAAATCCCCTGCTCCCTCCCTCCCTTAACCTAGCACATCGTCTTACCTTAATACCTAGTCCAGATTCGAACCTGTTCTCCGCCGCCCTGATGCTTCACTTCTATCGTTATCTGTGCTCCGTCCTTGTTTCTTGATTAATTTCTTCTGCTGTTTTTCCTCCTCGTCTCGCCAGTTTTTTGCTGTCGCCCTTGTTCCTTCACGAGATCTTCACGCCTAGTCCAAATTGCAAATCATCACTGCATGCGTGCAACACCTGCTCCATCCATCGAGCTTGCTTGCATGCGATTCACCTTAGTCTAGGCTCTGCACTTCCACGCTTTGCCAGGTCGCCGCACGCGCCCGGCCCCATGCGCCCAGCCCGCACAACCCGCTATGGTGCTTCGCGACCTTGCTCCGCTCCACAGCTTGCCCAAGGTGGTTGACTCCCAATCGGCGATGGCGCAGTGCACCGAGCTGCACCGGCGTCCACCGTCACGTGTTTCGAAGAGCTGCATCGTCCCTCGCAGTTTCGCCCTGCGGCAGTTCAGCGATATCGGTGCGGATCCAGGAATCTGAATCTACAGAATTAATGGGTATGTTGCCCCCCAAAATACAAGGTTTTTTTTTTTTTTTTTTTAAGGTAAGTATATTATGATTAGCAAGGTATCGAGCCGCAACGCAATGAAGAAATCTTATGATTAACAAGCGATCGAGCCACAATGCAATGAAGAAGTCACACGTTCAACTTCTCCAAGGAGCTATGATACCTTCCAATCCGAAGGATGCTCCCACTGAACCATAGGGATCTTCCAACCAGTACACAATTGTGGGAGAATAGAAAGAGACGCAACACATGCTAAACGGACAAAAAAAAAAAAAAAAAAAAAAAAAAACGTGACGCAAAGCATGCTTGCATTATGAAAAGAAGAAATGGCACTTTATGCAACAATGTTTTCGCCTGCCGAGAAACAGTCAAGAGTCGTAGAGTAGTTATCAGCACTTTCAACGACAAGGGAGGTTGAACCGTTGGATTCGGGTCCCTCTAAGTATCCTAAGTCTGATTAGAAGGCAGCCCTTTGGCTCAATCCGATGCTGATTGCAAGGCTGGACATCTCAAGTCCTTTATGACGAGCCTTGGGAGGAGCCTCAAAGGTTGACCTCCATTAGCACTTTGATTGATTGATTGATCGAGCAATCAATCAAGGGGAGCTCAATGTGATTTTGGGAGAAGAACAAAATTGACAAAAAAAGAAACAAAAAAAACTGACTGATTGATTGATTGATCGATCAACAGGGCGTGCACACACACACACACACACACACACATGAGATTCGATCTTTTCAAATCGGTTGACTCATCATATCGAGATCGGTTCAATCTAATCAATTGAATGAATCAATCGACTTGAAATTCGATTCGATTGGTTCGATCGAATCAATCAAATCTTGTGTTTGTGTGTGTGTGTGTGTGTGTGTGTGTGTGTGTGTGTGTGTGTGTGTGTGTGTGTGTGCACACACACCACATGCACTCTCTCTCTCTCTCTCTCTCTCTCTCTCTCTCTCTCTCTCTCTCTCTCTCTCTCTCTCTCTTACGCATGGGTGCAAGCCGTGCTTTTTTCCTTTTTAATCAATCAATGAATCAATGATCAGTCAATCAATCAAATCATACTGAATTGATCAGTCTCAATCAATTTTTTTTTTAAGCTAATTTTTTATTTCTTAGAAAGAAGAAAAATGAAGTCAAATAAAATAGGAAACGGATCTGTGTGTGTGTGGGG